AGGACTCAGCTAAACAGTCTGAGTTCAAACCACATATTGCCATTAGGGTTGATAATGCATCTACTTATTTTTCTATATCTGTGGCAGAATGACGAGAGCATTAACCTGAGCTGTAAATCCATAAGAGGCAGAACCACTGAGTATGTCCCATAATATCTGGAACATGATAAGGTCTCACAACATTGAAAATTAATTTCTCAGTTGATTTTCTGAGCCATGGAGCCTTCAGCTGACACTGGATGGTCAGCAGAGTTTCATGGAGTTGGGTCCAGATTATGTAGCAGGAACTAGCTCTAGACATGAACGTGGATATGGCTATTGTTGAAGGTCACTAAAATAGCTTCTTATTGATTTGAAAAGTACCTGGGAACAGCAGTTCAAAAGGATAAACATTTCTTCTGGCTCATTGTTTCAGAGAGTTCAGGGATCAATGAGTTGACCAATGCCATTTTTGTGGTCTCAGGTGAGGCAGAGTCTTATTATGGGGACAGTGTGTAATAGAACAGTGTTGTTAATCTCCACCTTACCATGTAAACACTCAAACTATCTCACAGTCATGCCATTATTTGGGAAGAAAGACTTTAACATATGAATTTGGGAAATAGTTCAGAAATGAGGGAATGAATGTCTATTGTTTTGATCTTTAGCCTGTGGCACCATGGCATGGCAACCCTAACAATAGAACCCAGGCATTGGAACACAAAATGATAGCATAGTCTCAAAACAGCAGCACTCAGTGAGAAGAGTGTGTTCAGAGGAAGGAACTGGAGGACAGAGGACAGAATGAGGAACCTAAGTGAGAAGGACAGTGGCTGAGCATTAACAGAGACTCTTCACCTCTAAGCATGTCACTGGCCTGCAGGACAACCTCAGTGTCTCAGAGAATGTGGAACATGGAGCCAAACCATTAGCTGCTTTGCAACTGACTCACTTGTGCTGATGGCCTCAGATTTATATTGATTTTAAGTGGGATTATTCTCAAAAATTAGACATTTTAAATAGTGTTTTTGAAGAAATATCTGATAAGATGTTTTCAGCCACTTTTTCTAATTGATGGGCTCTCAGAGCAAGTCTCAGGACTACTTCTATCCCCTCAGACATGCCCCTCTTGTGGTAATTCATGTGTTTACCTGGATTCTGTGGCAGGGATAGATAGAGGCAGAGAGATGACTGTACTCTTAGAACATGCTTACCTGTGAGTCCCAACAGTAGTGTCAGCAGCAAGGCACTGTGACTAGCGTGTGGCCAGGAGTCAAGGTCAGACATGATCAGTGCTAAGGAGTTTGCTCAGCCCAATGTCTGTGCTGGTGAGATCTCAGATTCTGATCTGCAGTGAAAAGAAGTACAGTACCATATTTTGCATAAAAGATGTGATGGTTTTTTGGTGAATTAGGAAGCATACTAGTTATTATGAAATATAGACACAGTGCTGCAGGCAGCTGCATGAGAGGAGTTACTTATCATTCATTTTAGGAAGGACACAGATATGCCTAAAAAATTATCCTTTTTCCTTCTCTGGACACTATACTGGATCCACTTCTTCTGAAAATACATTGGCTTCTTATGTCAGTGGATATTAAGGACTCCTGCATGTCTATCTTCCCATCTTCACCTGAGAGTTCTCAGTTAATCACATGTGATGTTTGTGAGAGCAGCCTAATGCTAGAGTAAAATGAGTAGTACTCTTAGAAAAACTTAAGAAATACTTCACTGTTGTAAAGGTAAATGTATTCTAAGTGAATGTTAGCAGTCTTTTTGCCTAAAAAAACTCTTTATAATCTGTCATGGTTAGTTAATTGTCAACTTAACACAGGTGAAGCAGACCTCCAGAAACATCAGCGAGAGATTGTTTAGGTTTAGTCTCTTTGACTGTCCATTCGGGATTGCCTTAGTTAATTATTATGGAAAAACTCATCTTAATTTTTGGGCAGAATAATTTCCTGACAGAAAATCTTGGACTATGCAGTGAAAAGGGTCATAGCTGAATAGCAGTATGCATACAAAAATTTACTGTTCCTGACTTTTGTTTATGAACACAGTGTAATTCTCTACTTCAAGATATTGTCACCTTCAATTCATTGTGATGATGAAGTAAACATTGGACATGTGAGACAAAAATATCCTTGCTCTCTTAAGTTGCCTTTGCCAGGGCATTTTATCATAGGATCCTGGTGTCCTCCAGACAGCAAGTGAGTACATTATCGTAAGTGTGTACTTGATGGTGCATTTCAGTATATATCATATAGAGAAGGGAACAGTATGGATGGCTTCCTGAGGCAGTGAGAACTGGCTGACACAATGATGTCCAGTGTATGTTCTGGATGGAAAGTAGATATTACATCCCCTATTGTTTGCAACTAGGAACTAGGGAGAGAGAAGGAAAAGCACCTTCACTGGCCACAGACATGAGCTTGAAAACAGGAAAAGAAAGGCAAACCTTTCAGACTCAGTCTTCTCCCAAATTTAGTTAAAAGAGGAGCAGCCCTTGGTATTTCAGTGGATGTGATGGGTAAGCTTGTCTGTGAACATGTCACCTGAAAATAATTGAGTAATTACCTGCTTCAGAATGGCTTATGACCACATCTGTGTGGCATTTTCTCTATTCCTAACTAAGGAGGGTCTAAACCACTGTAAGTAATTTTCTGTAGCAATAGATTACTAACCAAATAATTGGTCTAACTCTGGGGCTACTATTAAATGAATATGTAAAATGTGCATTAGTAAGGATAAGGAAAGACTCTAGCTAGTATATGACTTGTTATAGGCAATTGGAATGTCAAATTGTAAATTCAGTGTCAAAGGTGTTACTTGTGATCCTCTAGAAGGTAGAAATATATCTAGTGAAATTTTGATTTTCAATGTTTGTTTTTTCATAAACTAGGACTGAATTATATTCAAAAATGAGACTGCATAATATGATACATTAACATATATTTGGGCACATATTCATTACTTTTCATTAAAATTGTAGAAAACTGCTGTTGATTGCCATATTATTGGTGGACTTATCTATGTGGTATGTTTGTCAAAATGATTTTACATGAGAGGGGGATTGTCTGAGAACTTTCCTTTGGCACAGAAAGACAAAGAGGCCTGGTGTTAGGCTGATGTTTTGACTTATAGATGATTTGCAGATATATAATAAAGTGAAATATTCTCATTATTCTGACCACTGAATGTCATGTAAATTTTATAAACTGATGACTAAGAATACGCTGCAGTATTTATATTGAGACATGCCATACACAGACATTTCCCTCTTGTGAAGCCCAATGTATCACATTCAGCCCTTTCTCCAATCCTAAATCTCATGTCTGAATACCCAGAAACACTTACTGTTTTTATGGAACACCCAGTGCTCATACCCCTCATGACCCCATGTGATTTTCCTATAGGCAGTCATCACACTCTCCTAAGAACCTGAGAGAAAACAAAAACCCAGGAAAAAAAACAGCCACCCCACAAAAAGTAGGCCAAATACCAGCAGTTAGATATATAATCTCTCCAGTCCTATATGCATAGACACCATTGTAAAAACACAACCAATAACAGCCAGGGCAGTATGTGGCCACTAAGTGCCAGCAATCTTACCACAGCTTCAGGTGGGTTCAATGACCTGGGATTGATGTGTGAAGTCAGAGCCTGTTGTTGTTTAAACAAGTGACCCCAGATTTATTTATACAGTTTCAATGACTTGCATGATCAGTTTTAAAATCAGTTTTTACTTGCTAATCTTGTTTAAAAAAAACGGTTACAATAATTATCAGTTTGTTCCTTGGCTTTTGCTCCCTAAGTCCCCCAACTCTCCCAACAGTAATCATTACCTTTTTATCTATATCTCTATCATCAGAAGCATCAGAAGTTTTTCATGCTACAAGGGAACTTTTCTGATTAGGAACACTTACAGGAGTACAGTGTGCCCAGTTGTCAGAATATAGTGTTATAAAGTCATGCAAGGTAGGAGACTGTTTTGTCCCTTGTAGTTAATATTTACATCTGTTAAGGTCTGAGTTGTCATGATCATCTCACCAGTCGAAGGTCAGTAAGTCCATTCTACATTCTGTGCTACTCTGACTCCTCTAGGGATATCCCAGGTTTTTCCATTTATCCTATAGGCAATATCACTTGGAAATTTACACTTAATACTTAGCACTGACTATCCCCTTGTTCTTATATCTATTTTCCTTAACATCTTAAGGTATTGTGACAGCTATTCGTTGTCCGTCTACAGTTACCATGAACTCTTGAAATCATCTATTTAATAACATTTCCCAAAGGCTTATATTGTTAAAGCCATTGTTTCAAGCACATTTATGCAAGTGTGTAATATTAAACTTTGTGACCTGTGAGTCATTTAGGCCACCAGTATGCCTAGCATAGTGAAACCAAGGAGACCATATAGCACACATGCTCCTGGGGTCACACCAGGAATTATACAGCAAACAGTGACCAGGTCTTTGCCAAGCGGGTCAGGTTCTTCAGTGTCTTGCCATGAGGAGAGACATTCATGTTATTCTCAGGCCTTGTTCCCTAAAGAAGGCACATGGCTGCTGCCGTCCCCTGAATATTTCAACATACCTGAGGCATATGTAAAAGACTTTAAAACAGCCTTTATAAATATGATCCAGGTCCTTAAAGAGGAAGAGAATAAATACCTTAAAGAAATCCATGAAAACACAAAACAGTGGAAGGAAATGAATAAAACTGTTCAAAACCTGAAACCATAAATACAATTAATAAAGAGAATTCAATCTTAAGAAAATATGGAAACGAAAAACTTAAGAACATAAACAGATTCTACAGAGTCAAGCTTCCCCAACATGATGCATGAAATGAATTGAAGAATCTAAGGTAATGAGGATGTTATAGAGAAATAGATATGCCAGTCAAAGAAAATGTTAAATATAAGAAATTCTTAGCTGAAAACATCCAGGAAACATGGAACTCTGGCAAAATGAAAACTTTAAAAATAATAAGAATTGAGGACCTCTAGGGCACTCATGAGGAAATGCCGGGTTGGGTGGGGCTGGGTGGGGAAAGCTGTGGGCGATCGGGTGAGCCTGCCTGCTGTGCTCGCCAGTACCATCAGCACCTGCTGTGTCGCGTATTCCTTGCCGTTGCGTGTTGCCGGCGTTTGGGAACCTGAGGCAGGAGGATTGCTGCGAGTTGAGGCCAAGCTTGCCCTAGTCGCGAGTTCAAGGTCACCCTGGGATCCGTTAGGGAAAGCCTGTCTCAGACTCAACCAGGGAAGAGGAATAGCACTGCTGGGGCAGGAATTTAGGACAAAGCCTGCCTACTGAGAGATGCCCACTGCCGGTCATTTGCATATCTTACCCTTAAGGACAGACTACCACAGATCTTAACCAAGGCTATTGATACATTGCATCGACATAGAAGTGAATTTTTTTGAAAAAACATGGACAGGAAGGAGTGGAAGCTGAAAAGAAAGCCATCTCTCTTCTTTGTAAATTGCGCAATGAATTACAGATAAACCGATTATCTGCTTGGCGGATAAATGGGTTCACACTGACATATGGAATCAATACCTGGAACAAGAGCAGAGTCTGTTGGATGAAAGCAATGGGGTGTGGGGACACCAGACCTTGAGCAGAAACCCACTTCCCCTTCTGCCTGGGAGCAGGCAGCTGTGAGATGTTTACTGAAAACATGTTTACTGAAAACAATTCAGTGCCATAAAGCTCTTGATAGGGCTCCTTTAAGGGCTCGCTCACTGAAACACCATGACTTGATCCCCCCTACGGCTAGATGCCTCTTCCTGCTCCCTGCTGTGTCTCCCGGATTCTGGGACCAGAGATTAAACCACCAGCCAGGAGGGTGAGAAGTCTGGGAGAGCTGTGAGAGCTCGGCTGGAGAATTGTATGTAGATGGATGGCAGAAGTTCTTAAAAAGGGAAGCGTTTTTTTCTTGGGGGTCTCCTCCTAAGCTGACTTGGGAAGCATAAAGTTTTCTTAAAGCAACCGACCAGTCTCTGTGTCATCTATCCCGACCACCTCGCTACATTCTCGGATGCAGGCTGCACAGCAGGTGCGACAATAGGGAGCCACACTGGTTCTTCTCGCCCTGGTTGTTTGTAGAGTGTTACATGTATCGGAGGATTCATGAAGCCGTCATCCGGAGTCCACCAATCCATGACTTCGATGTATTTAAAGAAAGCAAAGATGAGAACTTCTTTGAGTCTCAAGAGTCCATCGATGCTCTGTGTATGCACATGCAGCAGCTGAAACCAGCCAGAGACCTCCGCAAGGACCAGGTGAAGGACGAGCATTTTAAACTTCTGCAGATCTCCCACTGGGGGAATAAGTGTGACTTGTCTCTATCAGGCGGAAAAAGCAGTTCCCAGAAGACCAATGTCATCAACTCTTTGGAAGGCCTAAAGCCATTCATTCTGATTAAGGACACAGAGTCTCTTTGGGCATTGCTCAGTAAACACAAGAAAGCAGCAAAACCGCGCGTAGTTAGAGTAGACATCGTTCTGGATAATTCTGGCTTTGAACTCATCACAGATCTAGTACTCGCTGACTTCTTGTTATCCTCTGAGTTAGCTACTGAGATTCATTTTCACGGAAAAAGTATCCCATGGTTTGTGTCTGACGTAACTGTGCGTGACTTTAATTGGATACTTGAACATGTGAGGAGTAGCAGTCAGAAGTCCACGGCCACCTGTGGTGCCGACTGGGAAAACCATGTTAAAATGGGCAGATGGATTTACCACGATCATATATTTTGGACTCTGCCTCACCAGTATTGCGAGATGCCCCAGGTTACCCCTGACTTGTATGCTGAACTACAAAAGGCACGCCTCATTTTATTCAAGGGGGATTTGAATTATAGGAAGTTGATGAGTGACAGAAAATGGGAGTTTACCATTCCGTTCCATCAGGCCCTGTGTGGCTTCCACCCGGCACCTCTGTGTAGCAAAAGAACATTAAAGTGTGGGCTTCAGGTTGGTCTACAGCTGGGTCAGGCTGAGCGGCTCATGGCTTCTGATCCCCATGGGCTGACCACGGGCAAGTATGTAATATTTCAGTTTGATGGCCCACTTTGACTCTGCTCAGGAATTCCCGGTTAATCTCCTCTCGGCCCCAGAAAAACAGTGCATGGATCTAGTCCTGACTTTCAGCAGCCTGGGGAGCCCCATTTTCTCAGCTCCTGTGCTACCTTACACTGTAGATGATGCTTTTTTGGAACAATTTCCCCACTGCCACATTTGGGAAAGACAGGGTTTTAAGCTAGTGACACTGTGCTGGGATTTTAATCAATATTCCAAGCTAAATGCATACTTTCAAGTAGTTTTAATGAACTCAGTTTTAATTGCAAAGAATGCAAAATGAAAGTGAATTCTGCTTTTTAAGTTAGTTAATCCTGTTTTTGTTTCTTCCTTAAACAGGATGATTATTTACTATCGTAAGAAGCAAACATTATTTAACTTAGTTCTGGCTCTTGAACTAAGGGTCTAGTGAGCACATGCCCGGTAACAGCTCTACAGGGAGGCATGTCTGTGATGCTTGAATACACAGAGTCAGAATTACCTCAGACCTGCACTGCAGCTGCTCTCTTGCATGCATCGAAGTCTTAAATGCCTGTCTGCTTGCCTGACTTTGCATTTTGACTGACCTGTGGTAGGGGTCAAAGCACAAACTGAGCATCGTGAAACAGGCGGTGTTTAATGAAGTACAAGCACAGAAGCTTTTATTCTCCTTAGAGGCCCACGTCGAAGTCACCACCACACAGGTGTCCAGACAAACACAGCTTCTGTTTGCAGACACAGAAGAGTGTGTCAGATGGAAAAGCTTGTTTGGCATTGTTTTTGATACTGCCAGTCAGAGCTCATTCTTTATATTACACATCGTGTTGTTCCTAACCTCAGCCATCAGAGTCAGCAAATTCATGCCACTTTGTTTAGAAACAACAGATTGGAAACAAACCTGGGAATGTTTTCCTGTACTGGAATAATAAAAGGAATTTTACCGAGAAAAAAAAAGAATTGAGGAAAGAGAAGAAACAGGTCAAATTCACAGAAAATATTTTCTTTAAAATCATAGAAGTAATCTCTCTAAATTTGAAAAAAAATTCTATATTTAATTTAGATTAGAATCAAGCTTGTTTTACATGTCAATCCTAGTTCCCTCTCCCTCCCCTCCTCCTCTACTCCCTTAACACCCTATCTCATCCCCTTTATGTTTCCCAAGGAGGGTGAGGCCTTCCATGTGTGATTTTCAAAGTCTGTCATACCTACTGGAGCATGGCCTAGGCCTTCCTGCATGTGGCTAGGGTGAGAGAATATCCCTCCATGTGGAAGGAGCTCCCAAATCAATTCATACACTGGGGATAAATACTGGTCCACTATTAGAAGCCTCATACACTGCCCAGGCCTCCTAACTGATACCCACATTCGGGCTGTCTGATCCGGTTCTATGCCATCTTCCAAGCTGTCAGTCTGGAGTCCATTAGCTCCCACTTGCTCAGATGAGCTGTTTCTGTGGGTTTCTCCAGCCTGGTGTTGACCCCTTTGCTCATCATTCCTCCCTCTTTACAACTGGATTCAGGAATTCAGCTCAGTGTTTAGCTGTGGGTGTCTGTATCTGCTGCCCTCAGTTACTGGATGAAGGCTCTAGGATGGCATACAAGGCAGTCAGCAATCTAATAATTATGGAAGGACATTTAAGATAGCCTCTCCACTATTGCTTAGATTGTTAGTTTGTGTCATCCTTGTATATCACTGGACATTTTACTAGTGCCAGATTTCTCTTTAAGCCTATAATCACTCCCTGTATTAAGATATTTTGTTTCTTGCTCTCCTCTATTATTCCCCCAATTCAATATTCCTGGTGCCTCATGTCCTTCTCTCCCTTCCTCTTCTCCCATTCTCTTTCTCCTAGCTTCCTCTCCCCTCCCCATATGCTGCCAATTTCTTCAGAAGATCTTGTCCCTTTCCCCATGCAGGTTGCTAGTTGGATGTTCTTAATTGTGATGTGTTGTTTTTACATTTCATCAAACATAAGTTTTCTGATAAAAATTAATGCTAGACTTAATATTTAGTAGTTTGGTTTACCTTTGTGTTGCTTTTTGGATTCAAAATAAATAGAAATTTGTGCTTGAACAAAAAAATTCACAAACTTTAAGAAGGTGTTGCCTACCAAAATGCAAGAAGCATATAGATCAGAAACTGACTGGACCACAGAAGAAATTCCCCTTGACACTTAATAATCAAAACACTAAACATACAGAACAAGGAGAGAATATTAAAAGATACAAGAGAAAAAGAAGCCGGGCGGTGGTGGTGCACGCCTTTAATCCCAGCACTGGGGAGGCAGAGGCAGGTGGATCTCTGTGAGTTAGAGGCTAGGCTGGACCGACAGCCTCCAAAACAATACAGAGAAACTCTGTCTCCTAAAACCAAAGAGAGAAGAGAGAGAGAGAGAGAGAGAGAGAGAGAGAGAGAGAGAGAGAGAGAGAGAGAGAGAGAAAATGGAACATACAAAAGGAGTCCTACTAGAATTACAGCCAACTTAGTATTAGAAAATATGCTTCAGACTCTAAGAAACCAAAAATTCCAGCCCACACTACTACACCCAGCAAAACTGTTAATTATGCTAGATGAAGAAACTAAGACATTCTATGCTAAAACCAACTTTATTAATACCTAACTATATATTCAGCCCTAAAGAAGGCTCCAGAAGGAAACATCCCACCTAAAGTGGTTAATTGCACCCGTGAAAGCACAGGAGCAATTAATCAGAAGTGCAGCACATCAAAAGAGAGAAGCACAAATATACACAGGCACACTACCACCAACAGCATCACCACCACAAACAGTGACAATTACCACAAAATACTGGAAATGAAAAATTATTGGTCATTGACATTGCTTCAAAATTAATAATTTCAATAACTTAATAAAAAGGCAAAAAGCATCCAAGTGGTCATACAAGCAAGATCCATCCTTGTGATTAATCCCAGAAAAATGCATCAATATCAAGGGTAATTATTCCCTCACCATAAAGGAATAAAAAAGGATATTATAAGCAAACAAACCACAGAACCAAGTTGGTATAGCCATTTTAATATGTAACAAAATAGACTACAAGTCAAAATCATTTCAAAGAAATAGGGGAGACCCAGAAACAGTGTCAGAGGAAGACCTGAAGTTCAGGCCCACAGCAACAGCATCACAGGCACATTTGAGTTTCAGGCCCTGAGCATCATCATAGGGAGACCTGAATTTCAGGTTCAGAGCAATGCCAGTGGGAGGCCCAAACCCCAACCTGGAAGCAGCATCAGAGGGAGTCCCAAGTTTCAGGCCCAGAGTAGTGTCAAGGGAGCCACCAGCCTCAGACCCAGGAGCAGTGTCAGAGGGAGATCCCAGCCCCTGACCCAGCAGTGAGGAGTGATTGCCAGGTGAGACAACATCAGTGATTTCCAGAAGTAGCTTCCAGAAACTATCAGAAAATGTTCCTCTTGGAAAGAGCACCTGTGTCCCAGCCAGCATCTACTGCCATTTCCCAGTTGGAAATAGCCCACTACTACAGCAACCACTGGACCCTCAGCCCCATCTACACCTCCAACAGGAGGAGCATCCCCCAGAGCTGAAGCCTCACCTGCACCTCAAGGACTGACCACCTGAGTGTGGGGCCCACTTCAACCAGGAGGATCATTCCACAGAGGCTCTGCCCTGCTTATGCCTAAAGGAGTGGTCAATGGATCTACAGCTCCCAAATATACCAATTGTAAAAAAGAGACCCCCTTAGCACAGGTTCCATCTATGCCGATTAGAGGAAGAGATCCATAGAAAACAAGATAAGAATACAATCAACAATATGAACAACGTAGAACAATAGTATTACAACAAGAAGCCCTGAACATACCAACACAGATGAAGTAGAAGAAAACAACTTAAAAACAAGAAAAAAATTTATGAGAATGATTGAGGCCCTTAAAGAGGAAATGAAAAATTTCCTTAAAAAATGGAGGAAAAGACAAACAAAAAATTGGAAAATATTGACAAATCCCTTAAAGAAAACAGAAAATGCAATCAAACAAGTGCAGGAAACAGTTCAAGACTTGAAATCTGAGATGGAGACAATAAAGAAAACACAAATGAAGGGAATTCTGGAAATGAAAAATCTGGGTAAATAATTAGGAAGCACAAATGCAAACAGAAACAACAGAATATAGGAGATGGAAAACAGAATTTCAGGCATTGAAGATACAATAAAAGAAATAGACTCATCGGTCAAAGAAATCTTTAAATCCAATAAATGCTTAACACAAAACAGGCAGAAAATCTGCAACACTGTAAAGACTGAACCTAAGAATAATGGAGATAGAAGGAGAAGCCTAACTCAAAAGCACAGAAAATATATTCAACAAAATCATAGAAGAAAACTTACCCAACCTAAAGAAGGACATGTTTATGAAAATATAAGAGGTATACAGAACAAAAATATGACTGAACAAAAATTAAAAAACTCCACTCACAACATAATAATCAAAGCAATAATCATACAGAATTAAGAAAGAATATTATAAGCTTCAAAATAGAAAGGTCAGGTGACATATGAAGGCAGACCTGTCAGAATGACACCTGACTTCTCAATGGAAACAATGAAAGACAGAAGGTCATGGTCATATGTTATGCAGACACTAAGGAACCATGAATGCCAGCCTTGATTACTATAACCAGCAAAGCTTTCAATAAACATAGATGTAGATATTCCATGATAAAGGCAAACTTAAACAATACCTCTCTACACACCCAGGCTTTCATAAAGTACCAGAAGAATAATGCCAGCCAAGGAAATCACCTATATCCACAAGAACACAGGAATTATATAAGTTTACAGCAGCAAATCCAAAAGAAGGGAATTGAATACACAATGCTATCTCCAACAAGAAAAACAAAAATAACAGAAACTACCAATCACTGGACATTAATATCCAATAAATATATATTGTCTCAATTCACCTATAAAAAGACATAGGCTAATAGATTGTATATGAAAATAGAATCCACCCTTCTGCTGCAAATGAAAAACATACCACAAACTCATAGACAGATATTACCTCAGAGAAAAGAGATGGGAAAAATGCCAATTAAATAGACTTAAGAAAAAGGATGGTGTAACTTTCTAATATATAACAAATTAGACTTCCAAACTAAAATCAATCAAAAAGATA